CCATTTATATCCCTACCAATCTTTTTCACTTGGGTCACTAAGAAAGGATCTAACTCCTGGGTCCTCTAATTTCATCCATTAATCTATTAATCCTTTCAACATATTCAATTAAATGTTCCTAAGGGTGAGTTCACACATCACGCTTAAGTTTCTAATCTCCTCAATCAAATACAATTCTTGTATCATCAAAATAATAAATGAATGCTCATCCTACTCAGGGCATTTGTCACTATATTAGTTTTACTTTTATAACCCTCTCCAAAGATTAGAAGCCTAAGTGTAAGTTCACTATGCACCCATACTCGGTCTTCAAGTCTTACCACTTCATTAATACCCCAGACAAACTCTTATTCACTAGCTTGTCCTATAGCCTCATACCTTGCCACAAAATGAATCAACTAATTATGTTTATCCAATATTCTTCAATAATCTACTCGTTACTCGAGTCATACCTAGTCTCCACTACTAGGAGTAATTTCACAAGTCAGACTTAAATTTCTAATTTGAACCAAAAGATACATCTCTTTAACCATAAAGAAAGATAAATATAGATGTTTCCTACTCAAAGCATCGACCACTACTTTAGATTTACCCATATAACAACTAAGATTAAAATCTTAATCTTTACAATTTCCAATTATCTCCTCTGTCTCATATTCAACTCATTCGAATCAAACAGATATTTAAGATTCTTATGATCACTAAATACCTCAAGCTTAGAATTATACCAGTAATGTCTCCAAAATCTCAAGCGTAACTATTACAACCTCTATTTCTAGGTCATGGGTAAGGTAATTTTTCTCATGAATTTTCCATTACCTAGATACTTAAAAACATAAGTTACTACATTCTTCTTGCATCAATAATCCACCCAAACTTGTCTTCAAAGCATCACTATATACCACATAAAACTTACTAGAGTCCGGTAATGTTAACACTAATCAATTTTTCTTAAGAGTTTAGAAAATACTTTCACACTTACTATTCCTTAAAGGCAACTATCTCTTCCTGATCAATCCAGTCAAAGGTAATGTTATCATAAAAATTTCCTCAATAAATCCCCTATAATAATAAGTTAATTCAAGAAACTCATATTTGTTGATGGCTTCGTTGTTTGGGTCCAAAACGGACAATATCTCACCAATGTGGAGACATGTGTATATGTATGGAAACCCCCTTATGTATGTCGAAAGTCTTCCTAACGGTGGGTCCATGTGAAAAAGAGGCTTCCTGGTAACATGGAGGGTTAGGAGGCGTGTCCCACTGTCATGAGGAAGATCATGAAGGAGCGGCAATGCAAGCACTCTGAGCGTGAGTGAACTTTGTGGGGCCACCATCGGATAATACTCGTAATTTTCGCTGCAGGGAAGGGTGAGCGTGAGTGAGCTATGTGGGGCCACCATCGGATAATACTCGTAGTTCTCGCTGCAGGGGAGGGGTAAACCGTGGTCCTCTATTTGAGGGGAGGATTGTTGAGATGCAAGCAAAGTCCCACATCGTTCAAATAAGAGATGAGTTTATATACACACAGTTGTCTCTATTAGTAGAGAGGCCTTTTGGGTGATCTCCAAAAACAAATCCGTGAGATCTTGGGTCCAAAGCAGACAATATCTCACCAACATAAAGATATATGTATATGTGTGGTAATTCCCCTAGTTCACAACAAATACATTAATGTTGTTGCTAAAAATCAATTTATGAAAGATTACTCTATGTATGTCGCGCATATTACAAGAATTATCAAAATCAAGTTGATCGTAATTCCTTATTTTCAAGAGATTTAATTATTATTATTTTTTTGTAAATATTAGAGAAAATTTAAGTTTCATATCGACTAAAAATTGATAATTAAATAATATATAATTAAAAAATAACTTTTATTTTAAAAATTAATTTTATAAGATTGAGTTAGACTCGATTCCAGTAAATGATATAAGTAAGCGAAAGCGTGTATGAATAAATGATATAATGGTTGCATTGTTACGTTAACGGCTTTAGCATAACTTCATTCGCTGCCTTAATTAAAAGGTAAGGCAGAGATGTTACGTCACTTGTTTAGTCGTTAAAAAGTTTAGACTTTTCACACGCCAAGCACACAATCTATTTTGGTCTTAATGCTTACCTAATTACATACTTTTCCACCTAATTTTCTAACTTATATTTTTAACTCAAATTTAAATGGAATTTATTCAATCATGTCAATTTTATTATTTATCGACCACCATACCACCTGTAATAATTCATTTGGTTTTTAATTTTTGATACGCCATTTGATTTCTTAGTTTTTTTTCACTAATTTCTTTCAATTAGAAGGTAACTGGTCAAAATATTTGATAAATATGAATTTATGTGTTTAAAAATAAATAAAAGAGCAACTCATATGAATAAAAAAAAATGTAATTGACAAAAGAATAACTAATATTATTTGTTTGCGGGTTAAAAATATCAAAAATGAGTTTCACACGGTCTAAACGAATAAGAGACGCAGAATAATTAGATTTTTTTTAAAAATATTTTGGTAGGAAAGCGCTTCCGTCAGTTGGTTGTATTCTTTTTGGTTGGATTGGATTCAAGTGACGGCACCGACTACGATTCTAACCTACCAACCCTAATAAATTATAACTGTCATAAAAAAATACCTTTTAGTTTCCGTGTATAGTTTTAAGATTTAAATATATTTTAGACTTTTACAAAATGAATAAATTCTGATGTTAATTTTTGTAAAAAATTATTTTTTTTATTTTGTAAAATTTATAATCATTATTTTTAGTTCATATTATTATATAATTACTTTTAATTATTTATTTATTTATTAAAGATTTAATTTATCATTTTAGATGTTACTCGTAGTGATTATTTATAAGTTTTTAAAATAAATATTATTTATTTATTTAAAATTATTTTTAAGAATAAAAATAATATTTTTTATTTTAAAGGGATAAAAATAAAA